ATCTGGCTTTTAAACTGCTGCCTGCATAGAATCATAAAATAATGGAGTTGAAAGGGGCCTATAAGGTCATCAAGACAATCAAGTTATACATCACAGATAGCACATCATTAGAACAGTAAATTCCTTAACTATAGGAAACATATTGAGTGCTATATCCACTTCTGCTCAAAGCAGGAATCTAAATCCAAATATATGTACAAATGGCTGCCGAATTTTCTCTTGAATGCCTCCAGCATTGGAGCGCTCACCACCTCCCGAGGTAATTCATTTCATTTCCATACTGCTCTAACGGGAAGTTTGTCCAGAGGTTCCACTTCAGTGTAGCTTCCTGTAAATTGACTCCATTATTACATATCCTGCACTCTGGGGAAATTTAGAACAAATCCTGCCCCTCCTTTGTAGGACAATGTATTTGTCCTACAGAGGAGAGGCAGGATTTGTTCTGAATTTGTATTTGACGAGTGCTATTACATCTTTCCTCCACCTTCTTTTCTCAAGACTAAACATGCCCAGGTCTGACAGTCTTTCCTCCTAGCACTTGGTTTCCAGTCAAATAATCATCATCCTTGTTGCCCTCCTCTGAACTTGCTCAGTTGGTCTGAATCCTTCTTCGAGCGCAGTGTCCAGAAGTGGACACTGCACTCAATATGTTTCCTATAGTTAAGGAATTTACTGTTCTAACGATGTGCTTTCTGTGATGTATAACTTGATTCTCTGTGGGGACAGAAAGAAGAGCTGTATGAGCAAATTCAGAAACACTGCTAGTTTAAGGAACAGGACATGTAAAGAGAAGGGTAAATTCTCATGGAGAGCTTAGTGGGGGCTTCGGTAGAGAGCAGTTCTCAACCCAATTCCTACCCCATGTATACATTTTTCTTTTCAGAGAGGAGGGCAACGTACAACGAAGAGCGAAGTGTAAGGAACTGAATGCATTATTTCAAGCAAATAATCTCTCAGGAAGGTGAGTATTGCTGGCTTTTGAAGTCGTCCTGTTAATGAAGTATGTAAATGTGTTTTCTAAGGTTGCTGATGGACCCCTCAAGCCTTAGAGGGCTGGGTTAAATCAGGCTATGCAATTCAGACACATGTGTGTGTTTCAAAAATTATAAAGTATCAACAATAAAAGTAATTCTTCTACAAGCTTCTCCTTATTTGGGTTGCAACCAAGGAAAGGCATGAAGGAAGCACTTTGAGATCCTGAAAGTTCCCTAAAAGCTGACAGAAAAGAGATTATTAGTTTAACTGTCCTCCATGCATCACTGAAGTCCTCCTTGTGTGGTTACAGCTTGTGGTTTCTTAATCCTGACACTTTCCTCTTACACCTGTTACAAATTCTGCTTTGTATTCCTGAAAAAGTTGACTGTCAACATTGCTTACGCAAGACTGCCCAAACGGCAATTTTGCAGACATAAAGTCGCAGCCGCGCAGATTAACACAATCGCATTTAATATCAAGCACAGCAGATTGGCTGCTTATTGTGACAGATGTGACTGATCAGATATTTGTTACCCCGAGTGTCTGTGGACAGCGGAGGAATTATCTATGCAGACTAAACCTCCTCGTCACGGCCACTGATGAGGCTAGTTTGGGAATTTTGGATTATGTAGTTCAAACATATTTCAAGCAGAGTGTATAGCGGGAGAGAGTGCAAATGTGGGAGAACGTGAAAGAAAAAGTGAGTGAGAAGCAAGCAAAATGTGCTGCTTATATACTGTCCTATAACTCCTAAAACACTCCCAGGGGTGTGGGGGATCACGGAACAAAGGAAGGCTAATTGCCTTAGAGAGAGAACAAAGGAGTTGACAGCGGATGTCGAACAGGAGTTAGAACTCTGCCTGTGTTCTGGTGCAGTGTGTGGGATAGCAAAATCCTGTCCTCTGAAGATGCCGGTCACAGAGACTGGCAAAACATTAGGAAGAAAAAAACCTGAACAACCCAGACAAACAACCCGGAAAACTCACAACAACTATGACAGGATTTGTTTTGAGATGCTGGCTTTCATGTGCAGTTTACTTGTATCAAGTCTAAGATGCCGCATGAGCCATTTACGCATCACAGTGGTGCCTCGCTTAACGATTGCCTCACTTAACGAGGAATCGCTTGATGATTAGGTTTTTGCAATCGCAAAAGTGATCGCAAAACAATGGTTTAAATGGGAAAAATCCGCTTCACAATGATCGGCTCCCTGCCTCGGGAATCAATTTCCGCATTATGACGATCTAAAAACAGCTGATCGTCTGGTTTCAAAATGGCCACCGGGGGTAGAAAATGACTCCCTGCTGTTTTTAGGAGCCATTTTTTGCTATACAGGCACCCGAAAATGGGTGCCCCTATGGAGGATCTTCACTAGACGGTGAGTTTTCAGCCCATTGGAACACATTGAATGGGTTTCAATGTATTTCAATGGGCTTTTAAATTTCGCTTTACGATGTTTTCGCTCTACAGCGATTTTGCTGGAACAAATTAACATTGTCAAGCGAGGCACCACTGTACATTTATATTACACTTTTGCTCCCAAAGTAGGGCACACACCTCTCCTATTCATCAGCTTCAATTAGACACAGCCATTGGGTGATTGCTCAGCAGCCTCTCCTTCTTTCTTCCATTTCCCATTGGCCAGTAGCATTTGGGTTCACATGACAGCCAGCGACAAGGTGCAGACCCTTGTGATCGAGAAGTGGAAACTCCCCACTAAGGACAGGATAATACTGGAGCATCTGGTCCTCTCGCAGGAATGCCACTGGGAGCCCGATGCCGTGGCAGTGGCCAAATACAGGTAAAGGTGCTACCCATGTACCTGTTCAGAGAGACACCTGTCGAGTTGGTTTGCAAGCATCTTTCTGAGCTCCTCCTGCTGAAAGGGGTGGAGATTCCTAAATGTTATCAGATTAGGGCAATCCACACAAAGGTTGATAACAATTTACTTTTTTGGAGTACAGCTCTCAGAAATCCGCTCCTCCCCCTGTGGTAGCCATTGATTTACTAGCTGGGGGATTTTGAAACCTGTAGTTAAAAAAAAGTAACTTTTCCCAAGCTCAAATCAGAGAGTTTTCATGGAAATGCAGTAGGATCCTCTTATCCGCGGGATCAGTATCTGCTGATTTACATATCTGTGGTCTGAAAATATTTAGAATATTAAAAGAATAATCCTAGAAATATATATTTCTAAAGATGAAGTTACCAGAACTGGCCAATAAAGGGAGCCAGATACAATGCCATGTTTAATGTTTGCTATAATCTGCATTTTTCAGCATCAGGGTGGGTAGGGGAGCTTGGAACCGATCCCCCGTGGATACAATACAACTATAATGCACATATGGTATATTTCTAGGAGTAAACTAAATAATAGGTCCATCACCACTTTTTTAAGGTACTCCTTCAAGCAGTTTGTTATAGTATGTTATTTTCCTCACCAATGCATTTTGCTTTTTACGGTGCTTTGCTTTGTGATCGGTACTGTATTTGGAGGGTAAACGCACTGAGAAAAATCCCTTCATAAAAGAGAAAACGGGTTGATCACATGGAATGTTTCTTTTGCTCACCAATAAATGTGATCCCCAGAGGTCAAGCTTGGGAGGCTTTCTCTACTTGATTTATTGATGTAATTTTCCATAGATTTGTCAGCGGGGGTGGGGGAAGGATTTTCCCCATGGTGACCCTAACAAAATCCCTGTCCCCTTACAGGGAAGAATTAAGGCAATGCTGCAATGCTTCATTTTGGCTTGTAGCAACCAAAGAAAACACACCTCTAGGGTCACACATCGTTTTAGATGGAGACAAAGGACAGAAGCTGTCCGTGAAATCTGACATGTGGAACCTGCTACCAGAGGTGGGAGAATTTATTTATTTAACTTTTGTAGGGAAGATGCCTGAGATCCTAGAATGCTCTGTTGCCAATGGGCAGTGGTCTGATTCAGTGATGATGATAATAATAGGGAACAATACACTCACAAACAAAAAACATGCTGGTCACCATAATCACCCAATCTCCTGAAAAGGACGAAAGCTGATCCCACAGGAATAAATGCTCAACTATCCAACAAATTGCACCGGAGCACAGACAGAGTTCTGACTCCTGTTCTCTGAAGATGCCGACCACAGAGACTGGTGAAATGTTAGGAAGAAAAACCTTAAGAACACAGCCAAACAGCCTGGAAAACCCACAACTATTGGATCCCGGCCACAGACTTCATAGAGTCCCAGATTATTTTAGGTTGACCTCCTCCCTTCTCATTTATTTCCCATGTCTCTTCTAAATCTTTTTTGAATTTTTGCAATCAGGTTTGGATACCGAAAAATATCCGTACAGTATCAATTTTCCACCTTACTGCCTCCTTATAATCACATTTAAGCACCAATTCCATATTCACTCTGGCATGATCAAATATTTGGATGACTTCAATGGCTGTATCATTTGCCCTTGGCAGTAAATCTTTAGAGACAAATATATAATCTATTCTTGAATATGTTTCTGTCAGTGGAAGGAGAACTTTCTTTCTTTACCCTTTAATTCTCTCCAAACATCTTTCAAATCTGTTTTATTCATTAATCTATTTAACATTGTACATTTAATTTTCCCTTCCCCAATTCACAACTTTGATTTATCCTTCTTCATATCCATTACCATGTTAAAATCTCCTGCTAATATCATGAAACCTTTCCTCAATTTATCCAACCTTCTCGATATATTTTCAAAAAAATTCCTCCTGTCTCTCATTGGGTGCAAAAACATTTACGATTGTAATGTCTTCTTTTATTTTACCTTGCAATATCAAATATCTGCCTTGAGTATCCTTTTCCATTTTTTCAATTTTAAATTCACATTTTATTGATATTAATATTGCTACTCCCCGAGATTTTGAAGTCCCAAACAATTTTTCATAAATTTGAATTAATTTGCCCTTCAATTCATTAAAACCCTCCTTTTTTCATGAGTTTCTTGCAAGAATGCAATATCCATATTACCTTTTTCTGATAAATTTCTTGCAAGAATGCAATATCCATATTACTTTTATTCAATACGTTTCGTATCCTAGCCCTCTTCGTGTTAGAACCCAAGCCTTTCACATTCCATGTTGAAAACCTTAAGTGTTTAACCATTCTCTAGTTTTTTTTAAATTAATACTAGTCCTGATTCGTGATTGCCAACTATAGTGTCTCCCCAATTTTAAAAAAAACACCTTGAATTCCTATTGAATTCTTCTACCACCCCCTTCCCCACTACTATTTTTCTTTCCCCCTCCCCATCTTCTATTAGATTCTTCTGGTCTTTTCTATAGACCGGGGGGAGGGGATGTGTCTGATCCTACCGGCTGCCACTCTCTCCCTGTCTCACTCTTTTCTTTGCTCCCCAATTAAAAAAAAATATTTAAAAACCCTTGAATTCCTATTTAATTCTTATACCACCCCCTTCCCCACTACTACTTTTATTTCCCCCTCCCCATCTTCTATCAGATTCTTCTGGTCTCTTCTACAGATCCAGGGGGTGGGAATATGTCTGGTCCTACCGGCCATCACTCTCTCCCTGTCTCACTCTTTTCTTTGAGGAATCACATTTTTTGTTTGTTTGTTTTTTGAAGAATTATTTCTCAACACCCGCCAGGAGGTTCACACCGCTTTTGACCTGTTTTTGGTTGTGTGAATAGCCGTTTCATGATGCGTAGACGCATTCCCTTTGCTGATGTGTTTGATGCGGTGAGGGACCATTGGGAAATCAGCAGATATGCCTGGTGTCCAAACACTTTCCCTATTAAAGCTTTTTGAAATAAAGCATTTGAGTTTAGCGCTCTGTCACAAAGGCGCTGGAGTGTTTCTGTCTGCAACACTGATGCAGCGCTATGCCACTTAGAATAAGAGAGAGAGAGAGAGAGAGAATAACTCCAATAAAGATGTTTATGGACAAGGACAAAATGCCGACCGAGACAGGACAGATGCATGCACAGATCAAAGTCTGTTTAAGCCAACCCAGGGTCTATTTAAGGCCATTTAAGGAGTCCTCTGCACTGAATCAACCCAGTTCAAATCAGGTTAAGTACAGAAAGAGCTTTTCAATGATAAACTATACCAGTATTTTATTGGAATTATTAATTTCCTGGACAATGTTCAAGCTTATGCCGTGCCTCTTTAATTTGTTCAATATGTATATAATATGTGTGCGTGTATTAATATGTTCATGTTGAAACTGACTAACAACTTAAAAATATATTTTATTTCCTTGCTCCCATATTTAGAGATCACCCTTTTCGGACTTTCAGTACAAATATTGCGCTGTGGTGGGCAATGGTGGGATCCTGCAGGACAGTCATTGCGGGCAGGAGATTGATCAGGCTGATTTAGTTGTCAGGTAATGCTTTTCCCGCCAGTTTCTTTAAGGGTCAACTGGCTAAACATCAGGTTGGTAGGGTCATAAAAAACAATGAATCTTTACTGAGGCCTGAGGAATTGATAGGAAGACCGCAACCCGGTTTGGTTGTCAAAGGATTCCCAGTGGGACCAATGGCTTGAACAGCAATGACCTCGGACCTTATGGGAGATCTGGATTCCAATCTCCACCAAAATGTAAAAATCAGTGGGTGATTTTGGGCAAGCTGCTATCTCTTAGCCCAGTGGTTCCCAGCCTTGGGTCCCCAGATATTCTTGAATTAGAACTCCCAGAAGCCTTCACCACTAGCAGTGCTGGCCAGGATTGCTGGGAGCTGTAGTCCATGAACATCTGGGGACCCAAGGTTAGGAAACACTGCCCTAGCTTGACGTTCCTCCCCATTTTTTTGTGTGAAGATAAAGCAGGGAAGAGGAGAAATAGGTACACTACCCCAACATCGCTGAAAAAAAGTGAAATAAAATAGTACCTAATAAACAGCGAGAGCTAGTGTGGTGTAGTAGATGGAGTGTTGGACTAGGACTCAGGAGATCTGGATTCAAATCCCTACTTGGCCATGAAAACTCAATGGTGGCAATGTCAAGCAATTCCTTGAACACCTCACAAACCTCAAAAATGTTATTAGGGCCTCTGCAAGTCAGAAGTGACTTCATGGCACATGGCAATAAAAATAAACAAACTCACGCAATGCCAATGGGTGGTATCGGCGCTGCCTGACTTCTCCACAAAAACCCGGTGAATAAATAAAAGAGATACTTGATTTTATTTAGACCGTCTAAAGTCGGAAATGCCTGTTTCCCCCTCTTCTCTCTACCCAGGTTCAACTTGCCTCCCATGAATTACTCCGACGATGTGGGAACCAAGACAAACCTGGTGACGGTCAACCCCAGCATCCTTACGACTAAGTAAGAGGATGGCGGGAAAGCCCATAAGTCAGGATTGTACTCAGTTTCCACCGAGCGGAAAGACGAGAGTAACGTGGAGACAGGTTGCTTGCCTAAGCATTGCTTTTTGTGCATGTGCGTGACCTCCACGAGGAAAGCGTGCTTCCCAGTTATCAATGGCAACACGTGTGCAAGTGTTTGTGGTATTAATCACACAACATTGTGAAGACGTGGTACTTGGAATTCTGGAATGTAGGTCAGAGGAGTGAACTACAGCGGTCTAATAAGCAGAGAGTTCTCAGCATCTAACCGTGATGGCCCTCGTCTTCACCCAGGGGTCATGGAGCCACCTTGCTGATTGATATGGCTTGGTTTGCATCCTGAAGGTTGGCTGTCTTTCCTTCTTTCTTTCCCTGCAGGTTCAAGAACCTGCTGGCCCGTCGGAAGCCTTTCGTGGATGCTCTGCGTCCCTATGGAGATGCTCTCTTCCTCATCCCCTCCTTCTCCTTTGTAGGGCACAGCGATCTTGGCTACCGGGCTCTCTACACCATGGAGGACTTTGGCCTGATGCATCGGGCCCTCTTTGTGAATCCACAATACCTGGGCCGCCTGAGTAAATATTGGAAAAAGGGAGACTTCCAGCCCCGTCGCCTTTCCTCTGGCTTCATGTTTGTCAACATGGCTTTGGAGTTCTGCCAGCGCATCACGCTCTACGGTTTCTGGCCTTTCCCGCATGGCCTGGAGGACCAAGCCATCCCTCACCACTACTACGACAACATGTTGCCGAAGCCTGGGGTACACGCCATGCCCGCAGAGTTCTCCAAGTATCTTGGCATGTACGCGCAAGGTGTGTTGCACATACGACTTGGCAAGTGTGAGAGATGCGTTTCTACGGGGAAAAAAGGAGGTGAGGAAAATGTTACAGCACCCATCAGACCCTGAAAGTGACATTGACACAGTTTGGAGACAGAATGGACAGGTACTTCGAAGGTCATTTGAGGAGTGTTGTTTTTGTGAAGCACGAGTTTGGAACGTCTGGCCCTCAGGCTGAAAGCAGCCTGTTGGTTTTATTTATTTACTTATCTATTTGGGTCTTATACTGCCCATGTAGACAAATCTATGTTCCACATATCACACTCCCACTTGTGCTTTTTTTATTCATGGCTTGTAAGGAAGTAAAGGATTTGGAAGTTTAAAACTGGATTTTTATGTGGATTTGTGTCGATGGGTACGCACAGATGGAAGAGCCAGCGGTTTAGAGCAGCGGTCCACTTTTTTTGGGGACCACTGACCAGTTGGGGGTGTGTGGGCTCGATGCATGGGGGGCGGGGGGCACCCCTGTGCTTGCAGGTGGGCGTGTCACACTCACAGGTGGGTGTGTTGCACTCGCGGAGGGGCGTGTCACACTCACAGTCATGCATGTGTCATGCTTGTGCATGTGCGTGTGTGCGACACACCCCTCTGCAAGCATGACACGCCCACCTGCAAGCATGACACACCCACTCACGAGCACAACACACCCACCGTGCGTGTGTGTGGGGCTTTAGGCGGAGATCTGTCTCTGTGGCCCAGTTCCCGGAAGCCCACAGACCATCGCGGACTGAGGGGTTGGGGACCCCTGGTGTAGATAATAATGGCTGTGTATTGCGTTATTTTGAGGGGACAGCACCTTTACACTGTTATACAAGATGTATACTCGCTGATTTCCATTGTAGCCAAATGTCTTTTCTTCAGTGTTGTTGAATGAAAAGATATACTAAAATATATATGAAAATTTCCATTGTAGCTTCAGTGTTTTTGCATGAAAAGATATACTAAAATATGTATGAAATGTGAGGGGATGTACTCCTGTGATATACTGTATCTTCCGCTATGGCCGTATAGCTGAGTAGCTTAGGTATCTGGCTGTGGAGTCAGAGCCTTGGGAGTTTGATTCCCCAATGGGCCTCCTGAGAGAAGAGCTAGCCTGGGTGGCCTTGGGCAAGCTGCACAATAGTCCCAGGGCACCCCCAGAAAATGGAAATGGTCAACCACTTTTGAGTACTGTCTATGAGGAAAACCCTGAAAAGTCAGAATTAACTTGATGGATGGGACATGATGATGGTGGTGATGATAGAGGAATAAATGCTGCTTCATATTCGGAAATGGTTAACCACTTTTGAGTACTGTCTGTGAGGAAAACCCTAAAAAGTCAGAATTAACTTGATGAATGGGACATGATGATGGTGGTAATGATAGAGGAATAAATGCTGCTTCATATTCTGGCCTCTTACAAGGAGGACCGGAGGCCTTCTGAAGACGGGCAAGATGAGGGACAACTGTAAAGAATGGTAAAAGTATGCTCTTTTGCAGGAAATCACCTAAGCGCTTTGCCGGGGGATAATTTATGGCTTACAAAAGTAAGGTCATAACAGTAGAATAAAAAGTGCATTGCTGAACAACATCTTGGTCCCTCAAGAGAATATATGTCTATAGAGCTAGACTGTGGAGTCAGAATGAAACGCTTTTTAATGAATGGGAAATATAAATATCATTACCCCCATTCCGGATCCTTGACACAGCCAGACATTGGTTGATCCTCTGCCTCCACTTTTGACCTAGAGGGCTTTTCGGGAAACACCTTCTGACAGAGGTTGTGTTTATACAATGGGGAGCAGGTGTGTTTGCTATAGCTCATAGGCAGAGCAACACACACACACACACACACATAAATAAAGTTATAGCTCATAGGCAGAGCAACACACATACACACACATAAATAGATAAATGTCAATAAAATCTTCTTTTCTTTGAGAAGGGAAATCTGAACCACTTTTTATTGCAGATTTCTCTGACGTGGCTAACAAACCAAACGCTTGTTAAATTATTAACACAAAGCACAAGGCAATTTCCGTAAAGATATATACGGTGCCGACAGTTAATCTCCTGGAAGTTTTTAGATTTCGGGGGTCTGTTTACAAGCCCGGAAGCTTGTAATTTGCACGTAATGAGCAATGTGCATTCTACGTGGATGTGGGTCTAAAGACCTCCCCCCCCCCGGGAATTAAAGCCACAAGACCAGATCAGACGATTTGCATTTCTGGTGTGTGTGGTTTGCTCTAGTATGTTCTAGTTCTCCAGGGAAGAGAACAATAGATATCTGAGAAAGTTTTCCTCTACTACCTAATCTTTCTTAAGCAGAAGATGCCCAGGGTTGCAGTTCCTCACATACTCTACCACTGATCCACATTCTACATTTGAGGGACCTAGACTCAGATAATTCCAGGTCTTGATTAGAATTATGGAGCTGGAAGGGGTCCCATGAGTACAATCATCCCACCCTTATCCCCAGCTAAACTATGCCCAATGGATGCCCAACCGACTTCAGTTACAAACCCCAGCAAAGTCAACCATAAGGGCCAGTTTCTCAATTTTACGGTAATACAGAGACCCCCCTCCCCTGTGATTTACATATCATGGCCAGAATCCAGGAGGGTGGAGAGGGTTACTGAGACATAAGCATAATTGCCTACATCTCCGCAATAATTTGCCATGATTCACAGACTCCTAGAGACAGGATCAAAGCTAAACAGAGTTTGTATATGGCAGGTGTTCTGAAAGTACATGACACATTTTCCAGGAAACTTGTTTTCTTCACTCGAAACTTAAGACTTTGCCCTTCTGGAGGTGTTGCCTTTCATGATGCACAACGGTAGGGAGAGCCAACATTTTAACTCTCCTTCCCCCCACGCACAAATTCTCAGCATCCTTAGATGTTAAGATGTGTCTGTTATTCATTTCTTAAGTTGGTGATTGTGCTTTTTTGGGGGTTTCATCTGGGGAAAAATGCAACTAGAATTGTTTGTAGGATGGTACACTCTGAGCTCTGTATTATCTTATTTACCTGATAGAAGGAAAGAGGGGCAGGGCTTGGAAAACTGCAAATTTTTTTGGACTGCAAATCCAAGACTCCCCCAGCTAGTATTGGTCCCACAACCTCTAAGAAGGAACTGTTAGAGTTAGATATGGAATACACACAGAGAGAAATGATTCTAGTATCTTATCGCTGATAGTAAAAGAAGATTTAAGTCATCAGTGGCAGAAAGAAAACTAGTCATATTGGCACCTGGGAGAAGCAGTAGCATATCCCACCTTTCTATCACAAGGCATGGATGCAACCTCCCATAAAGAAGGATAAAAACGTTGTTTCCCTCTCCAAAAAAGATAAGGCTTGCGTTCAAAAGAAGAAGAAGGAAAGTGAACAGGGTGAGAGGTTATTGTTTATCTTCCCAATTCTCCCCCCCCCCGTGGCGTCAACTCTAACCTTCAACACCCTCTAAATTTGGGTGCCCTGTGATGGAACTCCAGTTGCTCCACTATAGTTATTGCTCTGGTTAGTGGACCCTGTGGCAAGCCCCTTCTCATATTGGTTGAGAGGATGCACAGGGAAAAACCTGCTGAAGCAGAAGGTGGTTGTTGTTTAGTCGTGTCCGACTCTATGTGACCCCATGGACCAGAGCACGCCAGGCCCTCCTGTCTTCCACTGCCTCCCGGAGTTGGGTTAAATTCATATTGGTCGCTTCGGTGACACTGTCCAACCATCTCGTCCTCTGTCGTCCCCTTCTCCTCTTGCCCTCACACTTTCCCAACATTAGGGTCTTTTCCGAGGAGTCTTCTCATGAGATGGCCAAAGGATTTGGAGCCTCAGCTTCAGGATCTGTCCTTCCCGTGAGCACTCAGGGTTGCCTTCGAAATTTATTTATTTATTTAATTTATATGTCACCCACACTACCAAAATGGATAGGTTTGTTCTCCTTGCAGTCCAGGGGACTCTCAAGAGTCTCCTCCAGCACCACAATTCAAAGAAGCAGAGGGGACCCTTAGACAATTCCACTCCACTTTGAGCAACCAGGTCTTAAGCTAGAAATACAACTGTGACCGATGACTATGCTGTCCAAATTAGAGTAGGCCCATTTGGATGAATGGAACTTAAGGAGCAGTTTTGACGCACCAAATCCCCATTGGTTCATTGGGCCTATTCTAGTGCAATTTGCTATGCTAAACAACAGGATTTGGCCCGATGAGTAATGTCGGGAAGCTAGCAGAGTGCTCTGTCTGACTGCCTATTCAAAGCATCACAGGAAAAGCTTGCTGGGTAGCTGTTGGTCAAACTGGACACTACAGGGAATTAGCATTTTCACTCTCAAACTAGAGTGTCCTCTGAAACTTGTGTTTCAACAATTAAACTTATTGATTAAGCTAGTGTTTACCTTCCAACGGCCAAGCAACAAAACAAACTATGTAAAATGCAAGATATGCCATAGCGATCCCCAACCCTTTTTGGGACCGTGGACTAGCTGAGCCTGAGGAAGGAAGGCCCCCCTGCAGGTGCGCTCTCTCTCTCTCAAGTGCATGCACAAAGTGGTGGGGGAGCGCCCGCCTGCCCTTGTGAGTGCTCCACCCGTTTGCATGGGTGAAGGGGTGGGGGAGTGCTCACGCTGGTGCTGGCACGCATGCACATGTGCAAAGCAGCTGTGGGGAGGGAAGTGCGTCCGGGGGCTGAGAGGTCTGTCTTCGCAGCCCGGTCCAGCTCAGTCCACAGACTGGCACCGGGCCACAGACCGGGGGTTCACGACCTCTACCATAGAGGATAATCTTGTCCTATGGCACACAGATGCTTTTCAGTACATGGAGGAGTATTTCCTCGAAATACATGCTAAAAATATAGCCTAGTTTAACCCAAAAAATTAGTTACTGCTTCACCTGAGCAGCTTAACTTCTGCAGTAACAAGCAGTCCTCCTTATTTGTCATTTATCTGCCATTAAAAAAAAATCTTATTTTTACCCCCTCCCCAAAACATATTACCTGGCATCGTGTGTTTATCAGTCCAAGATCACACTGTCTGCACATTTTGCACCATAACAGATGCCCATACCATAAGATTCCTTATTTGTTTCGTTCTTCAGCCATGGGAATGCACCGAGCTACAGCCTGTCCTATCAGTTAATGTATGTGAGAGAATTTTATCAGCAAGGAGGAGATGGGAACCGATGTGCACTAACTGAAAGGCCACACCATTTATAACCATGGTCTGAACCAATGTTTATTTGACACAATTTATACAGTATTTTGCCCTTCCAGAATAAACATGGCTCTTAGTGTGGCTTTCCCTACTGAACAGAATAACAAAACATAATTAAGAAACAAACTAAGCAAGCAACAGTAGAAGAGGTACCAGCAGCTGATAAACCAGTTATATCTGGATAAACCTAAACAAGCACATAGAAAGCTTGCTTGAACAGCAAGAGTTTAACTGTATGGTAGAAGAGAGAGAGAGCCTAGAAAGCCCGTTGCATCATCCCAAACAATGGGTTGAGTAACGAAGACCTTCTCATGCTTCCCGACCAACTTAACTTTGGCTGTAACCAGGGCTCATGATGCCAAGAAGAGCCTCTTCTGTGCTCCACCATGTCCCCTTGCAATAGACTGCCTCACTTGGACAAATTATTCCATGGGACAAAGGCATTGCAAAGCACTCCTTTCCGCACGTTTTTCAGGCTTCTGCTGGCCTTGTCGTGCAAAGAACCTGCTGGCCATCAGTTTGTTGGCCCGTGGGTCCGGTGACACCCCACCTCAGAGACACCTCACTGGCAGTTTCCAAGTCGTAAGCGCAGCACATTCTGGATGTGCATACTAAGATAATGGGAAAACTCTGTGTGCATCTGATGCACACCAGCCTTGGGAAAGGTGTTATCGTAGTAGTGGTAAGGGACGAAATAGCCATCCAGGTCAAGTGGAAAGGGCCAGAAACCATAAAGAGTGATGTGCTGGCAGAACTCCAGCGCTACGTTGACAAAGAAAAAGCCACTAGAGAGGCGCGATGGCTGAAACCCTTTTTTCCTCCAGTAGTTACTCAAGTTGCCTAGGTAGTGTGGGTTCAGGAAGAAGGCCTGTGGCCGCAAGCCAAAGTCCTCCATGGTGTACAGAGTGCGGTAGGAAAGCTCTTTGCCACTACTGAAAGAGAAGCCGGAGATGAGGAAGAGAGGGTCTCCGTAGGAGCGCAGCACATCTGCAAAAGGCTTCCGACGGTTCTCCAGCCACTGGAATCTGCAAGGGAAAGAAAAGGAGCAGCACGTCACAGCTAGAAGACCCGATTACAAATGATACTTTTTGGGGATGCCAAATCTCAGAATCCTCCAGCCAACTCTGGGAGATCATGGAAGCTTTTGTTTGGAGGGAGAAAAAGGACCATTACTGACTTCAGGTCAGAGGAAATTCCAAAGTGGAGTTGAACTTAACTGGAATAGCTAAGGGGTAAACGGAAGCTAGTCCATTAGGACAAATGGAAGAATGATCTTTGTGCCTGGTGACTAGAAAGAGAGATACTCAAGGTGACCACTTACACATCACTGGAAAGAAAGGTATGCATCATCTGAGGAAAAGGATAAAGGAGAACCTACTGATTTGCACAAATCAACATATTCTGATTCATATGTACAGTAAGACCCCCATATCAATGTGATCAGTATCCATGGTTTCGCTTGTCCATGGTGTGATATTATTAAAAAATATTAAAATGAAAAATATCTAGAAAAAAAAAACAATTTTCACATGTACTACCACAATAGGCCACCAGACAGAGCCAGAGACCATGATATGAATACAGGTACTTGTTAGAGAAGAATACATAGCATAGTTCTTAGTAATACATGTGAAAATAATGTTTCTTGTTATTTTCCTTTTATCATGCTATATATATATAGCATTCACTATTATCCACAGGTCTATGGAACCTATCCCCAGCAGATATGGGTGTCCTAAAGGAATTCTGTATCTGAAATGTAATTGCTAAGTGGACACAGAACAAACCACCCGGTGTGCCTGATGAGTCTGCTGTCCATTTACTGAGGATGGGCAACATCCAGGAAGATTTCCCTCTAGCATCTGAAAGGATGATTATCCTCTGGCAGCTAAAATAAAGAGTAATTGAATAGTCTTGTTTGAACACTGCCCCTGTGCTATCTGCAGAGAGGGTTTTTGTGTAATATTTTAATTTATTTAGAACACTGAATAGCATATGGTCTCAGAGGAGGGGGCCACAGACCACAGTCAAAAGCAACTTAGGCAACTTAAAACATTTTAAACAAATCGAAACCATTTAGAAACTGTAAGTAGAATAAGTAGAACCACCACCCCCCAGACAGAGGGGGTTGCGCTGGCTTATCATGAGGTGTGTTTTTTCCACTAAAGATCACAGGAGTTAGCAAGTGTTGTATCCTCAGAATAATGTTGGCAGGGGGCATGTGTGATAGGACCTGTCCAGATTCTGATCTGCTGAAAAGCAAGAGTGACATTGGCATACGATACCTGTGAAGACAGCTGGGGAGAAAAAAAAAAATTTTACGCTTACACGCTAAAACTCCAGCCTGTGTTTTCTGCATTTCCCAAAGTCTTCCTACCAAACAATAATAGCAGCAGTTGGTTCCATCCAGCAGACAGTAGAGGTACCTTCACACATTTATATCTGATATTTGAATCTCAAGAAAAGAATTGAGAGTACAGAACACTGGCCACCAAGTAACATGCATATTAAAAAAACAATAACCAGCCATTCAAAGCCATGAGACATTCCCAGAAGAGTAAGTTCACTTCTGAGGACCCTGGGATCTGGGGAGAGGTCTGACCAACATGGTCCATCCTCAAAGAGAAGGGCCATCCTCCCCTCTGTTCTTTCCTGTAGGTGTAGCGCTAATTTGCAAAGTCCCATGATTGAGGGATCTATGTGGTTAGGTGTATGTGTAAAAGGACATTTCTTCAAGTACCAAACACCCAGGTGGTTTAGGGCTTTAAAATGTTGTCTCCGGCACTTTGGCTTTGGGCTGGAAGCATATTGGCAGCCAGCTCATCTACTGACATGTACTGTACCTGTTTTTCTAATACTGGTGTTTATGTGCTTACCATTAAATAGGTAAAATCCACACATTCCTTTCTTTGTAAATGAACCAAACATCACTGTTCTATCAAACTCACACAAACAAGGCAATTGTGAAGCAACAGAAAATAAGTGTTACTACTTCTTGCTGCCGACATGATGACAGAACAAGATTGACGCATCTGTATTTTCTCCCATCTCAGCTTACCTTTCCATAAGGATGCTAGGGTTGATGGTCACCAAGCTTGTCTTGGTTCCCACATCTTCAGGGAAATTCATGGAAGGCAGGTTGAACCTGGATAAGCAGGGAAAGTGTGTGCTGTAAGTGATCATCAGCTCTATGTACAAGTTCTTTCCCTCTTTTACACCTTAGCATGCGGTGCACACAAACACACAGGAAAAGTGATTTGATGAGCTTATTCTCACCCACATGAATGGGACATGTGAGTGCACAAGAGTAGCATTTTGGAGTAGAATTACAGCTATAAAGTATGTATTCTTCAAGGCTTCCAGTTGAAAAGACCACAAGTGGCAGGGCTGAAAATGGTCTTCTTTTTGCCTCTGAACCTGGAGACCTACTGCTAGAAATAGCAGAAAATACCACTGGAATCTTTTGAGCAGCGATCTAACTCACTGGTGAAGTGGTGCACATTTAGGCCAAGGATCCAAGACCAGCCTTTCCCTTCTGCAGTGGAGACTTTGCCAAAACTTTGGACAGTTTTTGACAATCCAGAGACAGCAGTAGCTGATGAACCTAGACTGATGATTTGACTCAATATGTGGGAGTAACCAACACTCAGGTACAAAGGTTCTTCCTATCTGTATCTGTGAGAGTGAACACCCAGTGTTATTGATGATCCACCTATCTGAAGTGCAGCAAAGAAATCACCCTCAAGAAAGAGTTACCTGATCACCAGATCTGCTTGGTCAATCTCTTTCCCACAGCAGCTGTTTCGTAAAATACCTCCATTCCCTACCACTGCACAGTTCTTGTATCGAAAATCTAAGAAAGGTGATGTCTAGAATTGATTTGGGGGGGAGGAGGAAGAGTAGAGAACAGAATTAAAAATGTTTATACTTGTCAAAATAATTCTGTATAAATGTGCAAAAGAAATTATATTTGTATGTGATCAGTCAAAATACAAAGGAAAATGTATGCAATCAAAAATTACCCCACAATTTCTATTTATATCAAATTGCAGTCATAACCCATCTGCTTCTGTACTGCACTGGCCTTCTGTGATCAATCTAGGTAAACCACATTACTTTTTGCAAGAATCATTACATTCCAGGTTTTGTAAAATCAGTTTCACATAACTGGAGCAACAGATACATTCTAGAACGCATCATGGTTATTGTTGGAAAATTTCAACATTTTCTGATATCAAATCCTGCTATGAATCTTCCAGTGTAGTATTCTTGGATCGTCAAGTAAAGCACATTCCCTAGTTTGCAAAGATGGAACTGGGGGGGGGGGGCAATGAAAAATCTGGTGAAAAGAACAACCAAAACAATCAAGGAATGTAAGGCTGTTTTTGAGGAAAGGTTAAAACATTTTAAGCTCTTTTTGGCTAGAGAACTAATAACTAAAACAGCATATGACAGATATCCATAAAATGATACATGGTGTGGAGAAAATGTATGAAGAGGAGCTTTTCTACCTCTCTCAGAGATTGGTTGAGGTAACAGCTCATGTATAGAGTAACTGTGGGAGGACAGGGACTTCTTTAGGTCTGCTTCCACTGCTTCCCACACATGTAGAGGACAACAATCCGGAGCGGAGGTCCTGCCATCTTTGAATGCTCACCATATCATTTGGAAGACCCAGAAATGAGGTTCTAATGCAGATGGAGTGACCATGGATACTGGAAAATCTTTGCTTCAGACGGCTGTCTTTCATGCTGGAAGGACGCCTTACCCAAATTAGAGATGAAGGGGGAAGAGCTAGGGTACCCCTCTCTTCACATTTTTATTCTGCATGCCAATTTAGGCCTGAATACGTAGACCTGAATAGGGCCTAAATTTGTTAGGGACATACAGTAGTGGCACTGCAGGTTAAACTGCAGAAGCCTCTGTGCTACAAGGTCAGAAGACCAGCCATCATAAGATTGAATCACGCAACAGAGTGAGCTCCCAACACTTGTCCCAGCTCCTGCCAACCTAGCTGTTCAAGAGCATGTAAAAATGCGAGTAGATAAATAGGTACCACTTCGGTGGGAAGGTAATGGTGTTCTGTGTCTAGTCATACTGGCCACGTGATCACGGAAACTGTCTATGGACAAAGGCTGGCTCTACGGCTTAGAAACGAAGATGAGCATCGCCCCCTAGAGTCGGAGACGACTGGACTAAAATGTCAAGGGGAACCTTTACCTTTACCTAGCGCCTAAATGGCAAGCAGAGGCAATGAATGGTAGTTCATTTAGGAGAGACAAATAATCCTTCTATAGAAATTTTTCTACAGACAATACAGAATAAATATAGTTCTTGCCACAGTTAAAATTACGTTGGCGGCCACAAATGCAGATGCCCTTAAAATGGCAACCACAGACTTTCTCCTTTCCAATTTCTGCCTAGTCCTTACCATTTTCCAAAGCAAAACAAAGACTCCCCCGACTGCCCCCCCACTCACCTCTGGAAGCAGGGCTAGCAGATCAGCTTCGACAGGGATTGTTGAATTTTCTCCATCACATTTCATGTTGGAACCTAATGGTGTGTTTCGCTTGGTTAGGACGAGGTGAGAGGAAGCATTGCAACATGCTCCCAGTTCAGCTCTGCCAAGGAACAGGAGCCACATTAGGATGAATACCAGGACATTGAGCGGAGAATGTACCTTGAAAGGAGTATCGAAAAGACAACAACACGCAAACAAGCAAGCAAACAAACAAGCAAGCAAAACCACTGTCCCACCAAATGTTTGGTGTTGTGCCCTGGTTTAAATTGTAAAAAAGAAAAAACCTTCAGAAACAGAACAAGGATTATTTCAGTACGTATGTTTTTATCCTCACACGAGTGGCAGGGGAATTGTGTGTGTTTGTGTTTTAAAGAAAAGACTTCCTGGGCTCAAAACAGCTTGGAAGTGAGCGAGAGGATAAATCTAGTGAAGGGAGGACGGGATTGGATTTTTGTGACTTTAAAAAGTGCATTACTCCATGAGCAGCTGGGAGAATGTGGCCTAGGATTCCAAGTGGGTGAATATTTTCAACCTTCTCTAGACTTCTGAAAATTCTCCACTCCTGCTGTGAAGATTTGTGCATGCTAGTATCTTCAGAAGGACTGTCCTCTTCCATGTACTTGTTCCCCACTGAGCTCTAGACAGTGGGTCTCATTTTCTGTCTTCTCTTATTTTTGAATGGGGATGTCCAGACTCTGTTCTGTGGCTGATGCCCCATATTTCTGGAATCTCCTGTCTAGGATGAAAGAAACTCTCTCCCTCTCTGGTTTTTGAAAAGGGCGTATGGAAAGGGATAATTCTTCCACCAGGTTTCTAATGACAATATTTTTTAAACTGTTAGCATTTCCCTCCCTTAATATATTTGATATTAAATTACATATTTTATTTATTTATTGCACTGTGGTGCGTTTGATTCAAATATACTGATGTCATTGTGAAATCTAATTCAATGTTTTGGTTGTCATAAGCAGCTTTGAATTTACCCTGTTTCTCCAAAAATAAGACCCAACGTGAAAATAAGCCCCAGTATGATTTTTCAAGATCCTTGTAATATAAGCCCTACCCCCAAAATAAGCTTGAGTTACGTGAAACCCCGCCCTCCACCATTGTGCAACATTGTGCAGCAACCAGAATATGATGACATGACTGTATTTGAATAAATGTAGATTGTTGTACATGAAAAAAATAAAACATCCCCTAAAAATAACCCCTAATGCATTTTGGAGCAAAAATTAATATAAGACTCTGTCTTATTTTCAGGGAAACATGGTATTACAAAAATGATTTCACCTGGAGTTTTAAAAGACAGGTAGTGTAATTCGCCCCAGAAAACTCCATAGTCAGTAGTTTCTTTTTCCTTACAGATTCTCTCTGAAAGGGTGAGTAAATAGAAACATTACCTATACTGGAGCACTTCTGTGGCATTGGGTTCCCAAGGACGATCCTGTGTGAGTAACAGATACCGCAGCATGCTCTTATCTCTGTCTGACAGAGTTTCATTTTTAACAGCCTCCGAATTGCTTGTTTTACTCCTAATAACAAAGACAAAATGACTCAAGACACATACAAATACATCTGCCAAGAGCAGTCACCCAAAAAGGATTCAGCTTTTTCAACATGGCTCCGTGAAACTGTGTGTGATATCCAGTACATTTCAACAATGAATTTGGAATCCTGATGCCTTCTACATTTAAAGCAAGTTTTGAAGGCCTTATGACTTGCTAGTATCCCACTTTCCTCATTACCGATAAACAGCAAAGTAAGGGAAAGAAAAAGGAGGAAAGGACAAGACTGACATCTTCACATTACCACACCTTTCTCAGTGTTTTGTAAACTTATCATTCCAAATCTATGCCAATTACCTTGGTTTCCAGTTGGTCTCCAGGGATAATTCAAGACATTGGTTATTATTTATCTATGAAGAGCAGAAGGACCAGCCTATCAAGGATTAAAAACATTGGTCTCCCCTTTGCTACAATCCCCCATTCTTCCCCCGTTCCTTCCCTTCCCACCCCATCACTCATTTTCTTTCTTAATGCTCCTCTTCTCTCTATATACCAGGGCCACATCTGCCTTTCTCCCTAATTCTCCAACTCTCTCTTGATTTTTAATACAGCATGAGTCCCTGGCCATGTAGTCTGGAAGATTCTCAAACTTGTAGTTCTAAAGCAGGGGGGGGCAATTAATTTCTATAGGGGTGCCACATGAAAAATCTGAACAGTGTTCGGGGGCCGAACCAACTTTACTTAAAAATACGCCCCCATTAGGTGGGTAGTAATAGGCCCCTAATTTGTGGGTAGTAATAGGACCCCATTGATTGAGGCCCTGCGGTAAATGGACTACAAGGCTGACATAGTTAACTCCATAAACTTTTAAGGGAGTTAACTATGTGAGCATTGTAATTCGTTCACCGCAGGGGGGGGAAGGAAAAAAACCCGACATTGAGCTAACTCACCTGTCCTCCATTCCCCCACGCCTTTCTTCTCCAACTGTCTTCTGTCCCGCACAGGCGATGTGATGCGTCATCACGTTGCTTGCACAAGGATCACATCTGGCCTCTTGAGCTGCAGGCTCCACAGCCTGCAGCTCAAGAATAACAGTCAAAACTCGTGAGATCCCAGCGCCGGATCTCACAAGTTTTGCTTACTGCTGTACTGGGTGACTGGAGCCGGTGTTCCAGCTCACTCAGCAGCGACGGGTGGGCCCGACAGGAGTGGTGACGGGTGGACCGGACTGGAGCGATGACCGGCGGGCCAGACAGGAGCGGCCCGCGGGCCGCACTTTGCCCAGGTCTGTTCTAAAGTGTAATTCTTCCATGTTCTACTATGGGGTTGCCTTTTAGATTACCTCAGGGACTAATTAAGGTAAACTAGAACATCCAGCTTCAATGGGTAGTTTGTTTGTTTGCCCTCCTTAGTTTCCTGAAAATTTGGGAACTCTCCACTTATTCGGTCGGTAGTTTGGCTGAAAAGTTCCATGGCCAGAATCCTATTGGTTAATTACAACAGCAATGTGTAAGTGCAGTGGGTAAAAAACAATAACTGTGTTGCTGGTTAACGAGTCACTGCTTATATCCCTCATCCATTGTGCGAGTTGGTCCATGATGTAGGATGCAAGAAACAACTTACTCACTAGTAGCCATTTATTGCTGCAGTCTCCCCCATTGCACTTACACTGGCTTAATTAACCAACAGGATTCTGGCCTGCGTGCCTGATCCTCCTGGGCTCCTTTATTGGGGAAAACATAACACAGTTATGGATTCCTTTTAATATACAAGTATTCTTAGTGATGTCGTTGCAACATATTTTGTCTACCTCACTCACCGTTTCGGCTTCCGGAATGTCAAAAGATTTTGCTTGTCTAAGATCAAGAAAGCAAAAAGGCCAACGAAGAAGATCGCCCAGAAGCTCAGTTTGAAGATCTGCTTCCTCGACATAATGGCGGTCCTGTTTCTAGGGTTGTTTGGCAGTTTGTTGCGTCCTGGGGCCACCTTCACATTGCTATGTTGCAAAAGACTAATACATCCCTGTTTCAACTCAATAAACATGGGCAGAATGTTAGTCAACAGCCATATCTAAATCCCTCTTTCTCATATCCATGCACGGGTCCACGAAAAATGTCAGCACAACAACATTTGGGGCACTATAATTTTCTGAACGTCATTTCAGGACTTTGGAAACAAATTCCGCTTTCTGTCTGCCTTCCCACAAGACCGAGGCTGCTGGGATCGAACTTGGTGGCCACACAACCAGGCATCAAGACGTTTTGGTCCCATTCTTTGGCAGTTAACTACACCCCCCAAAATTCTGGTTTTTCTGCCCTTTCTGGGCACCCAAAGCCAAACCAAAATTTTGATTTTTCTGCCCTTTGTGGGCACCCAGAACCAAATGCTAAGAGAGGGAGGGAGTGGCAGACAGATAAAAAACAGCATCCACCATATGGGCAGCCCTACACTTCCTCGTTTGGCATGCTACCATCCCTCGTGCGCTGGAGAGGAGACTCCCCCATTGCAGATATTGGAATAAAACCCAGCAGCCTTGGCTGGTTGGCACGTGGTTGGCACAGAAGGGTGCCTTTTGCTTTTGCTTCAGGCGGCAAAATGTCTTGGGCTCACCTAAGGTTATGTCTCCAAGGGCAGCTACCCTTGACTCCCTATGGAATCCCACAGGAAATCAAACCCTTTATTTCAAATAATGACAGGTCAGCACAAAGAAATCTTGGTGGAGATGGCCAAAATCCATGGTTTGCCCCTGGGGAGACCCATGTCACGACATCTATTGATCGCTATATCTGTTTAGTATCTCACAAAATCTAATTTTTCCCTCTCTCTCTCTCTTTTAATTGATCTGGTTCTTAACCTTGGGTTACTCAGGAAAGACCCATGTCACGACATCTACTGATCGCTATATCTGTTTAGTACGTATCTCACAAAATCTAAATGTTTTCCTCTCTCTCTCTCTCTTTTTTAATTGATCATGTAGAGTTCCATTGCCAAATGTGAAGAAAATGCAGAAACGATCCTTGCAAAAGAATTTAAGTGGCTTTATGGCGTTTTGTGCTCAAAGATTCAAAATCCACCCATTGAGCCTCCTATTTACAGAGTCCATTGCCAAATGTGAGGAAAATGCAGAAACGTTCCTTGCAAAAGAATTTAAGTGGCTTTATGGCATTTCAAGATCCACCCATTGAGCCTCCTATTTACAGAGAGAAATGGCCTTGGGATTTTTTGGAGCGTTTTTGGGCCAAGATGGAGGCGAAGGAATTTAGAGGAAATTAGAGAATATACAGTATATTTAAAAAAGAAGCTCACAGGAAACTTGGAGAGATGTTGGAGGAGATGCTGGCAGGGAGGGGGGAGGGGAAAAATTAATGAGATTTCTGAGGAAATGTGGAGAAACCTGAATCACCTCACAGTGGCGGAAGAGAGATTTCTGAAGTGATTTTGGAGAGATTTCTGAAGAAACTGGGGCCCACCTAGGCTTCTCAGGAGATTCAGAGGCAAGGCTGAGGGTGAGAAAAAAGGGCCGGCTGAGGAGATGAGCCAAGATGGCGGACGATTAAAAAAAAAAAGATGAGGCGAAAAGACCACGAAGAGAGAGTGACGGCCATGTTCTGTGGGTGTGGGTGGAAAATTCAGCCGCTGTATGCCAGCTTGCATTGATTTATTTTATTTTATTTACCCCGCCTTGCTCCTTAAAGCAGACCCCAGGCAGCTTCCACCCTCAAAATCCAATATTTTAAAAGCAGGGAAGTACCTAAGCGTCGGACAAGAATCAAAACAAAACACCACACGAAAAGGTGGCCTCTCACAAAAAAAGCAAAACACCAAAATGCCTCCAAAAGCCCAAGGCTCTGTTGAAAACACCCCTACTCAGGTGAGCCGGTGGTTTGGCCTCAAAGCCGGCCTGAGGAGAAAGCTCTTCACCTGTTGGCCAAGATGGGACCAGCCTTGTTTCCAAGTGGCAGGGAGTTCCAGAGTCTGGGGAGGAGCCACAAGAAAAGAACTGCTCCTGTTCTCCCCATCCGAGGCACCTGTGAAGGGGGTGGGACCGAGAGCAAGGCCTCCCTGGATGATCTGAATGTTTGTGGACACTTTCCAAATGGCATCCCAGTTCCCAACCCGCTTTGAGCCCAACCCCGAAAAATACAGTCGAGGTGCCCCAATTTGTGGGGCTTCCACCTTTTGCGGCTGCTTTTTTGCCCCCACTCCCCGGTCTGTCCTCTGGGCCAGCCGGTGGATCCGTGGGCACTCCTTTTTTATTTTCACCTCCTTTTCCCCCCTTCCCCCACACAAACTCCTATGGACTCTGAGGCTGGGAGTTCCAAAGACCACAAAGCCACAGGGAGCCACCCCTGGAAAAGCTCCAGAAGGCCACATCTTCTTTAGCTCACCCTTGGGTGCCCGCCGGCCCTGCTTGCGATCCAACTAGCTCAGACCTTACGGACGTTTCTGTCTGCCGCTTCTTCCTAGACACAAAACCCCCAAACCCTTCTCTCTCTCGATCTCTCCTGAAAAAAACTCTCAATGTTATCTCTCTCCTTTTTAAAAAGAAAAGTAGATTCTCTGTCTGAATAAGCCCTCGGTTAGTTTGATCCAGTCTTGCTGCTTTCGTGATTGGACTGTGTAAAAATGGATACATATTAAAGAATTATTAATTGATTGGTCCATCAATGCATTCTTGCATAGCCTGGGAAGGAGGGGAGACTGTATTCCATTTTAATGCTGAAAATATACCTGATTCCGATGGCTGTTCTTAAGCGGATCACGTGTAAAATTTGTTCTAAAACTGTTTTAGAGTCTTTGTTGGCTTTTAAATGGTTTTAAACTGTTTAATAATAGTAATAGTAATAGCCACCTAGAGTGGTCGCAATGACCACTCTTTCCAGGGTTTTCTAGGTAGTTAAGAATTCAGAGGGTTATGGGCATTACAGTTGTAAATTAACAGACTGCTTCACCCCTGTGATGCCATTAAATAATTCACAATTCTGACTTATGGCAAACCTTTTCAGGGTTTTACAGGTACAGAATACTCAGAAGTGGTTGACCCTTCCCTTGTTCTGGGAGTGCTGTGAGACTGTGCAGCTTGCCCAAGGTTACACGGGCTGGCTCTTCTCCAGCGACATACAGTGGGGAATCAAACTGCCAACCGCAAATACCTAAGCTACCCAGCCCAGCTATTAGATTTATACTTTTATTGGTGGTGTGGAGATTTGTGTTTCTGGGCCTAGAACTCCCTGGATTCCCCAGGCAGACAGAAGTGGTCATGGTGCCTGAGGAATTATGGGGATTATAGTCCAAAATTAAATCTGCACACATCCAGATTCTATTAGATCAAGTGGTGCGGAAATAGTAGAAATAGGCAACTATATAATTAAATGAAAAAACAGATGAGGAGGAAGACCTTTCATCCTCACCTCCAGTTTAGTGGTTATACTCCCACCCCCCGGTTGCTTCTTGACTTGCATAAAGACTCCACAAACCAACTAAGCAAATTATTATTCAGCATTTATTTATTTAAATTATTTTTACTCTGCCTTTCTCCTTGAAAAGGATTCGAGGCAGCTTACACCATTAAAAGACAATATTTAAAGCTAAAAACAGGAAGTATATAAATACTGAGGAGGCTCAAATAAATACCATACAAAAATTGGTAAACAAAAGCAACACCAAAATGCATTCAAAGCAGAAAGTACAACAGTCTATTTAAAAACCCCGCTCAGGCAGCCTGTCATTAAAGCTAAGGGAAAGCTAAGGGGGGATTTATTTAGATAAGGTGCTCCTATTAACAATTGAGTAAATGGTGGGTTCGCCCGCCAAGTTACTTGATACTGGGTGTAATTATAATGAATGGACATCTGAGAAGATGTCCCATTTTTTTAGCATTGTATTGTCAATTATGATTCATTTATGTGTGCATCTCAGATATTGTAAATACAGCTGCCTCCAGTTGTTATAAATACAGGTCCTCTGCTAAGAAGACCCTGTTGCTCAGAGAGGCATCCTTCTAAATGGGGAAGCAACATCTAACTCGACCAAGGTAAATATTCTTTGGGCTATTAGCATGGAGTCCTAGTGTTAGGTGCATTGCTTGATAAGATTTCTGCCCACCATGCAAAATTTTGAGTCAGTGAAGTTTACTCAGATTAGCCACCAACACCAGCTGCCTCATAGCAGCCCATAAAAGATAAACCCTAATCTGCCCTACATGCTATTCTGAACCAGCCTGATGAAGGTCAAGTCTGATGGACTTTGGGGCATCTTGCAGGTTCCAACCGAGTAAATTCTCCTCCCCATGTCCTCCTTTTTTTCTAGCAACCTTGAGTTGCCACTGAGCAGCTTCCTGCTTCACTGGGTTGCATGTTGGGCAGAATTCAAAAGCATCTCCCACAAGCAATATTTCTTAGGGGATAGTTCAGGGGATGACTTACTTGTTTGAGTCTTGAATCATGATCCTGATTTTGTCTTGATTTTTCTTCTTCCCAGGCTACCTTGTTAAAGTGTGAAGTTGTCTATTTTTAAACATTCAGTTCCTTTTCATGAATTGTTGTTGATGGTGGTAAGAGAATAAAAGGACAGAGACTGTGGTCACACTGGCAATAAGAATTGCATACTGTATAAGTGTCATTTAAATCAATTGATATTTCATCATTCACACAATGCAAGGGTGAAATTGATTTATATGGGCTGCAAATTGAGTTTTTTCAACTGGCCAGCAGAATCTTTTTCAAATATGTACTTTGAGCCTGTTCCCCATTGTCGTAATAAACTAATAAAGATTAAATAAGATTAAATAAGACCCATGCAGATCAGCCGTGTTGTTTCTGTTATCAACATTTATCCACAAACATGGAGACGCTATGCAGGCTATACAGTAAACTGTGCACTGGAAACTGTTGGTACTTCCTTATTGGGAGAACTGTTTTTTTCCAGTAGATTATGTTTTTATCACTTAGCCTCCGTGGGTCCCAGCATTAGGAGAAAGGTGGGATAGAAATGAAATGAAATCAATCAAGCAACACAGTTCTATCTACAGTATGTTCAACTATAGCTACAGTTAAACCATGGCTACTGTTAAAAGATCAAGTGACAAGCATATACCGTGTTTCCCCCAAAATAAGACAGGGTCTTATATTAATTTTTGCTCCAAAATACACATTAGGGTTTATTTTCTGGGGGTGTTTTATTTTGTTCATGTACAACTATCTATATGTATTCAAATACAGATAGATATATAGATATATAGAGATAGATAGATAGATAGATAGATAGATAGATAGAATAGATATAGATATAGATATAGATATAGATATAGATATAGATAGATATAGATAGATATAGATATCTCTGGAGAGCCTCTTAGTTGGAGAGCCCATAGAGAAGAGAATCTTGATATAATCAATATGCAGATTGGATTGTCTTCTTGTTTCCTGCTTGCCTCTATGTTCTGATTCTCAACTACCCCTTTACTTTCAGACATGGCTGCTTGGACTCGCCTCATCACTGCTGTTGTGATCATGGGCAGCATTACAGCAGGTAAAGACCCTGAGGATGCAAGAAAGGGACAGGCAATGGCAGATCCATATGTCGGGTCATCACATTAAGCATCAGCTGTGCCCAAAGGGCTGCCTACTCAGTGGGTAATCCCCAGCGGTCTTGATGGGTCCAAGTGGCAGGGTTGTAACAAGGATGGTGCAACGAGGCCTTATCCCCAGGGTGCCAAATTTAGTGGGCATACACCTTCCCCAGGTTCTCATAGCAAAAGCATCCCCAATCAGATTTTCAAAATTGTTTCTTGGAGGGGAACTAGCCACCCCCAGTCCTTCTGGCAGCATACTAGCTAGACTGCACGGGACTGGCATTAGACAAAGGGAAGTGTCACTTTAGCTGTCAGATGATGTACTGATGGAAGACCACAATAAGACATCAGAGGATAAGGGATGGGTGGCCACTGAATACATCAAGCCAGCCTGTCATCTTCAGGAGTGATTCAGGGCTTTGTCCCATGCACCAATAGTTAAGAAAGATTCGACTATCAACGTCGATCAGCTTTTGCGCATGAAACGGAAGGAGAGGCATCCACTGGGTTGTCTTCAGGTCCCCCGCTAGTGGAAAGAACCTTATCCCGGTTATAATAATTGGGCAGACAAACAGTCCGGGTACCGGCCAGGGATGGCCCAAGAATGAGATCTGTGTGCCAGCTCCATTTTTTCAAAAGGACAGGTGAAAGGTGTCGATGTCTTTGTACAAAAGGTGCTGAACAGAGGAGAGGTGTGGGTGGGTGGGAGGCCCATGAGAATCAGAGGTGTGTTGCATCAGATCCCCAGCTGTAGGTCCGAGAAGGATCAAACCTGAACCCTTGTGTTGTTTAAAAAACTTTTTGAAAACTCTTTTCCATGTTTATTCATTTACAGCACTTATTTCGGAAACTTATATACCGAACCATTTAGTCACAAGCACCACTCTGGGTAGTTGGCAATAAACAAAAGCCTGTGCCAACACCTCGAGAAAGCAATAAATAACAACTACCCTACAAAAGTGCTTTTCAGGGAAAAAAGTCTAGGCTTAACTGGAAGGCGACGGCACAGACTCTCATGGCTACTTCTTTGAACACTGCACCTCCTTGGGTGCCATTTGTGAGAACTGAGCAATGTACTCTTCTTAAGGAGATATTTTCTTCATAGGTTTTGAGGACTCCCTGCAAAGGATGCGGAGGGATGACAGCGATGAAGTCGGACATCGTCCTGCTGGACAGTTAAGTATGTGCCCTATCACTATGCTGTAGAATACCTTGTTTCCCTGAAAATAAAACCTAACCTGAAAAATAAGCCCTAGTATGATTGTTCAGGATGCTTGTAATATAAGCCCTACCCCCAAAATAAGCCCCAGTGAAGTGAAATCCCACCACCCACCACTGTGCTGCAACCAGAAAAAGAGGACAGGACCGTATTTGAATATATGTAGATGGTTGTACATGAAAAAAATCCCCTGAAAATAAGCCCTAATATGTATTTTGGAGCAAAAATTAATATAAGACCCTGTCTTATTTCCGGGGAAACACAGGAGGGGTGGAGAAGGCGTGCTCCCCTCCTCAAAACAATCACAATCAGGCTGTCTTCTCTCGCTGCCGTCAACAACAGTTCATGGGGAGGAACGGAACCTCTAAAAATATGCCATTTCACACTTTAATAAGGCATCCTGGAAAGAAGAAAAATCAGGATCATGATTTAATATTAGAACAAGCCATCACCTGAATTATCACTGTTCCTAAGACATATTTCAGAGTTCAAAGGTAACCGTCCCTTTGGTCGAGACATACATATAAGAGTTCCTATTCTTAGAAGGTCAGAGAGCTTGCTAATGGGTAGATTCAAATAAATTTCATCCGTAAGGGACAAGGAAGAGCAGAAAGGCTTTGTAAATATGTCCAAAAACATTGGAAAAGTTCACCCATATGTGGCTTGAGCTCTGGTTTCAGACATTGGCCTTTGCCACCACCAGCTTCCTTAACCTTCTAACTAGAAACACCAGGCATTGAACTGCAAAACATGTTATGTACCATTATGAAGCTATACTGCTAGTACTCTTTGCTCTAAAGACCTGTGCTCTTTCTTTGTAGCTTACCTATGCCCTTGCACTCAAGGATGCTGTGACACCGACTGGTTTCATTACAAAGATGCCTGTTATCAACCTATGCGGGACCAAGCAACCTGGGATCAAGCTAAAGTATGTAGCTTTTGTGTGCATTTGGAAATCTGCAGATGCCAGAGGATGAGGGAGATCATGATCCACGTGATTGCATGAAAACATCTTAAACCTGTGTCTGGCAAGCTATAGCCTGCCCAGAAAGAACCACCAATTTTCGGGGAGAAGGCAAGGTTGATGTGAAGGAGACCCTGTAGCCGCACAATCCCCCAAGACATGCAGAGGTTTTCAGATTCAGTCTCTGGACAGGGAAAGATTCCATCCAAGGTCACCCTTTCCCTAACAATACCATAGACGGAACTTGGGAACTTCTGCGTCTGTTCGGTTGTGGCAAAAATAGCACCAGACGTTCACTTTCTCAAAGTCAGTCATTTCTAATTGGTTTCCTCAAATTATTGAGAAACTACTTTTGAAAGCATAAAGGGGGAGGCAAAATAACAGTAGATGGCTTTGCTTCCGAAACAAACAGACGGCTACCTTTGAAATTTGAATTGGGGTTTTCATATAGCAACTGTGTCGTATTTTTGCTTTGCTTTGCTTTGTGGTTGTTTGTTTTAATAAATAAGTGCTATATTTAGAAGCTTTTGGGCTGAGAAGCACTTGCTGCCCCAACTCTGCCATGATACAAAATGAAACAAACAACTCTTCCCTTTACGGGAGGTGGTTTTGTCACTATCGGTACCAATTTAAGTCCTGCATCTTCAGGATGGCTGTAAAAATAACCCCGTATCATCAGTGCACAGTTGAGTTTACAGAGGAGACCAAATGCTCCATTTGGACGAGCGCTAAGTTAATAGATTTGTGCGCCATGATAGTGAGGAGTGCTGACCTGGGATTTTGGAGATCCATTTATTACTAAGCCCTAAAGCTTACTGGGTAACTGTGGGCCAGCACTTCCGTTTCAGTTTGATCTAACCAATAGACCAGCAAACTCCAACCTTGGGTCCCCAGATCTTCCTGGACTAAAAGTCCCAGAAGCCTTCACCTCTAACAGTGCTGGGTAGGATTTTTGGGAATTGTAGTCCAAGAACATCTGGGAATCCAAGGGAACTACTGCTGTATGTTGTTGTTGTTTAGTCGTTAAGTCATGTCCAATTCTTCGTGACCCCATGGACCAGAGCACACCAGGCCATCCTGTCTTCCACTGCCTCCCGGAGCTGGTCAAATTCATGTTAGTACCTTCGATGACCCTGCCCAACCATCTCGTCCTCTGTCGTCCCCTTCTCCTCTTGCCCTCACACTTTCCCAACATCAGGGTCTTTTCCAGGGAGTCTTCTCTTCTCATGACATGGCCAAAGTATTGGAGCCTTCAGAATCTGTCCTTCCAGTGAGCACTCAGGGTTGATTTCCTTTAGAATTGATAGGTTTGTTCTCTTTGCAATCCAGGGGACTCTCAAGAGTCTCCTCCAGCACCACACTGCTGTATAGGCAAAAGATATAAGGAGGAGAGCCAGGAATGCCATCTGGAGTTCATGGAGGGACAGCAGGATATAAATATTTTTAACTCACCAAATCATGGTGCCCATGTGAAATCCTTGCATCCTTCTTTGTCTCCCCTTGTAGTAAACATCCCCCCTCCACACCCATTTTGAATGGCCCAGTCTGGCAGCCAGACACGAGGGAAGCATTGGGCTAGATCCACTAAGGCTCCTGGCTGATTAATATTGTCCTGCTGCTGGAAAGGAACTCACAATTGCTTTGCTTATGTCACCCCAGCGCAGGTGCAATGCACTGGATGGTCACCTAGCCTCTGTCCACAGTGAAGAAGAAAACAACTTCATCTTTCACTTGATGAACAAAAGTCGCAACTACCGGCTCGGAGCAGAGAGAACCCATGGGGTGTGTGGTGTCTGTTTCTAAGTACATAACAACAATGTTTGACATAGAGGTGTCTAAAAACCAGCACTGTTTTCTAGTTCCTGTGGACAGTCCAGAAAATTTAGATCACCCTCACTTTCTGAGGGTCTAGGGACGTCCAGGGACATGGTGGTGCTGCGGGTTAACCCGCAGAAGCCTCTGTGCTGCAAGGTCAGAAGACCAGCAGTCGTAAGATCGAATCCACGTGATGGAGTGATCTCCCGTTGCTTGTCCCAGCTCCTGCCAACCTAGCAGTTCGAAAGCATGTAAATGTGAGTAGATAAATAGGTACCACCATGGTGGGGAGGTCATGGCGTTCCGTGTCTAGTCGCGCTGGCCATGTGAACACGGAAACTGTCTTTGGACAAATGCTGGCTCTACGGCTTGGAGACGGGGATGAGCACCGCCCCCTAGAGTCGGTTACGACTGGACTAAATGTCAAGGCGAACCTTTACCTTTACCACTTTATGAAGAGGTTCATCTGGATGGATCCAGGTTCAAAATCTCGAGACCCTTGGATCAGGACCAAACGGTGTCCCAGACAAAGAGTATATTTCGTGCCCTTTCTTTTATTTTTGAATATGGCTTCTTTCTAAAAATTGCACCTGTAGTGCATTTTATAGCTTTGAGGCACAATCTGCTTGCACTCTTTTTCCCTGGGCCTTGCAAGATAATGCACATGCACACAGAGATCTGATCGCTATGGTTCGTGTCTGCACCACTGAATAATTTGACACCAATGTTTTTATTTTTTTAAAAAAAAAACACCAGTATCTCTGTGAAAACAAACTCTTGGAGATTATCACGGAGGAGATCCTTCCTCTTTTTACTGTGAAACAGGGTGGAGGGCACCCCATTAGTATGCACCTGCGCCATTTGAAGTTGCGGGTTTCCAGAATTTGTCAGCAACCAACCATGCAAACTCTGGAACTCCGCATCTTTTAGTTTAAAAACATTTGTCTACATTCTAAGATTTAGAGCAGTTAGCAACCTAAATAGTGACCAACTGCCTGTTTGCAGCGGGGGAAGGAAATATGAATCCAGGGTTCATCAGAATGATAGACATTCATAAAAAATGTTCCTGTCCTATGAATAGTTTCTGCCTTCACCCCCAACACAGTTGGAAATCCTACTGTAGCTTCCTGACATGGTCCTATACGTAGCTGTGCAAAAGTAAGGTCAATTGAATCCAATCATGATGCTTTTGAATATGTCCTAGGGTCTCTCTACAGAATAACACACAAGAAAATCAAACATGAACTTCTTATTCCAGTTTAACCTGTATTACTGATGGTCTGTTCGTCCCTTTAAAACCCCAGGAAATTGGCCCTCCACTCATTGAAATGGCTAATTGCAGAGGATTGCAAATCAAGGAAACAGCCTTCTAGTTTTTTTTAATACTGATCTCTTTATTGGTTTTTTAATTCTTGGATCTTTAGGTAACAGCAAACCCATGGATGTGGCTTGATGACACTCCGTGGGACTTCAGTAATTTCACAAACCAGCGGGAACAACTCTCCTCAAACAGCCTGGCAGTCCAGTCAACTGACAGAGGTTATTAAGGGCACAGAACTTTCCCTTTTGTTTGAGGGCATTTAGCTTGTACTGGCCCCATTAGCTTCTGGTGGTGACATAAACATTTTCCAAGAGGAAAGGGTGTGCTGTTTCTGACTCTGGTGCTTTTCCAGAATTTGGAAATCTGCCCAAAAGAATTGTTGTCACTATAGTTTCCCCAAAGCAGTTATAGTCACCATCTATAATATATAGTTACATTTTTTAAAAAAAAGATGTGTTAGTTTCCAATTTTTCTAAAGGAATAGAAATCATTGCTTTTACCTAAGAACCACCCAACACCTTCCTTCTCTCCACCTTGCTTTTGCCTCGGTACCCCCCACTGAAGCAACAGACATAGCCAGACACAGCACGTGCACCACACAGTATTCCATCACAATTTAGTGACAGTATATCCCCATTAGACTTCACTTCCCCACTGGGCCTCCTGTGAGTAGAGCCAGCCTGGGTGGCCTTGGGCAAGCTGCACAGTCCCAGGATGCTCCCTAGAAGAAGGGAATGGTCAATCACTTCTGAGTATTCTCTACCCAGAAAAGGTTTGCCGTAAGTCAAAATTGTGAAATATTTAGCAGCATCACAGAAGGAGTGAAGCGATCTGTTAACTTACAGCCATAATGCCCAGAACGCTATTAGTTTTGGCATCACTGTTAAGTGCAATAGTGAACACTGCAGTGGCAAATTGAGATTAGTTAAGAAGTTAACTGGTCCTTGTCACACTCCAGTACTGCGACTTGAAATCTTTCATCAAATATCTCCCTGCATGCCCGGCAGCATCTGCCTCCGAAAGGCAGTCGTCCAATGACGGGGGTCAATACTATTGGCCTCAAAAGCCTCTCTTGCTCAACCTAGGTTGTAAGAAAGGCTGTTTTGACATGTCAGATCCCTGACATTTTTTGGCAAGTCAGTTAGAAGTCGAACCTAGGATCTTCTGATTTGCAGCCACAGTCTAGTGATTGGGTACTGTGCAGCTTCCAGATCCCTGGTGGTTGCCCACCCTCTCTTTAGTTGCCAAGTACTATGTGATTTCATTGTATCTGGGCAAAACTAGTCAGCAATTTCTCTGATGCCCTGTTTTTGTTTAACTTTCTGAGCAACACATTCTTTTATCCTTCTCTGAAAGCCCTGGAGTCCATAACTGAAAAAGCTCTGCTACGTGTTTTCACCTTTAAGCCTCATAAAGTAGTGTAGTCTAACCAGAGATTCTGAAAGAAGATCTCAGCAGCCTGACAGATTAAGAGATGATGTGAATATTTATGGCTTTTGCAGGAGTTTGGTGGCTTTCCCACAAGAGAGTGGGGTCTCTGTGATCCCAAGAGCAAAGCCATGTTTCCGTCCTCCCATTCATTGGTCTCATAGATACTTTTGTGCCACCAGCGCTCTCTACCGTTTTATAGTAATAACAACAGGAAATATGGATGGATAGAAAGCATTGGGAGACACAGCTTTCATCAAAGTTTCCCCCTTTCATATTCAATTGTTTCATCTTTCTTTCAGGTAACATTTATTGGAAATCTGTAAGTAGAGATGCTTCGCTTAGGTTCGTCTGCAAATATCTTCTGAGCTGAAAATGGATCCTGAAGCTGATAGCAGAGAATTCCTTCTGAATCTAGGACGTCATGGCATGATTTTGTCTGGTGTTTTTTTATTCTGGTTGCTGTAACTGCTCTGGAGCCAATCCAAGTTCAACTGGTTTCATTCTAATGAGAATTGATCATGTAATCATTAGCTTTTAGTTGGCATGCAGCAAATAAAAGGTATCAAATTATTTCGTATGTAATACTCTTCCAATGTACAGTACAATGCTTCATATGCATTCTGAAGTGATATACTGAGCGTAGAAAAAGTTGATGTCTTAAGCAGCTTACGATGCCCTGTTTGAATTCTGAAGTGATATGGTCTAGAGAACAGCAGTATGTGCCTCCTCTGAATGTCTTAATTAGTTCTTAGAATGAATATATCTGAATGGAAAAAGCAAGCATCCAGAAAATTACAGTACATGGAAAACCAGTTAGCTGTATAGAAGGACTCAGCATATCCTGCTGTACTTTCTAAAGTGAGTACTGTAGCTGTTTTAGTATGTTTGTATTGAGCCTTTAAAAAAATTCATGTCCTAAGTAGCTTATGATACATAATGAAAGAAATCATACAGTACTAAAAGATCACAAATGCTGAAAAAAAGAGAGAACCCTTCCTTCAACCGACCTGGGGTGGTGGTGGAATCATTTGCAGCAGCAGCAGCAGTAAGTAATAAATAAAATGTTGACTTTTAAATCTAGATTTTTTAAAGCAACAGCATTTTTTATCTGGTGCTGAAAGAACCTCACAAAGAGGGGACACTCCACAGATAAGGATACATCAAAGAAATACTTGGTTCTCAGTCCTTGGGTCCAGTGAAAAGCCATACAGGACAATCCAAAAGTACAAAAATACATGAATAGAAAATAGAGGTTTTTTTATTTATATATGTATTTATGGTAATAATTTGTTTCTGATAAGAGGTAGATGCAGATATTCAAATCTCTCCCACCTTCCCCATTTTGAATGTAAAAATCAATTCTTGGAAATGCTACTTTTTTTGTTCCTCCTTCAGGAGAAAGGCGGGGTAAAAATATTTTAAATAAAAAAAATACCATCTCCAAACTTTTATCGGCTCCGAATTCATGTGCAAAATACACATTTTGAGGCCATATTGTACAATGCATTTTTACTGTGCTAAGAGCAGTGTTTGTTTTTATTGCATTCATCCTCACAATAAATAATAATAATAATAATAATAATAATAATAATAATAATAATAATAATAATAATAATAATAATAATAATAATAATAATAATAATAATAATAATAATAATAATAATAATAATAATAATAATAATAATAATAATAATAATAATAATAATAATAATAATAATAATAATAATAATAATAATAATAATAATAATAATAATAATAATAATAATAATAATAATAATAATAATAATAATAATAATAATAATAATAATAATAATAATAATAATAATAATAATAATAATAATAATAATAATAATAATAATAATAATAATAATAATAATAATAATAATAATAATAAATTTATTTATTGTATTTATACCCCGCCTATCTAGTCATTTCAACCA